ACACTGCTCACTACCCACCTCAAGTTGTATTCTGGGTAGGATTTACATCCAAATATGTGGAATAATAGACCAGGCCTTCTCCTTTTTATAGTGTTATTTTTGGGATAGAGAATCACACATCATTATTCTTATCAGCTGATATGTACTGATGCCCTGCCGTATGCAGGATTATATAAGATACAGACATAGAAACCTGCCCCTAAATTGTATGCTACTGTGTTCATTCCCTTGAAACTTTGTTTCTAAAATGGATATTTTGAAATAAATGTACATCAAGAGAATTGCAAAAAGGGTCAAGTAATCTACAGAATGATATTCATGTCAAATGCAAGGCAAAGACAATATTTTCTTTTCTGGGAGTTGTGTATATTTTGGTTCATTTTTTTACCCTCTTGGTACACAAAACCAGGAAGGGATATTTAACTGGAATAGTGCAAATGTTCCCGAGTTTTCTTTATCCCTGAGGCTAGCAGCTTAGTGGCCCCTAAAAATATTTATAAAAACTGTTTTCACCTTTTTCTAATAAAAGCTGGGTAGGTTTTTTATTTGATGCAATTTTTAGAGTATGGGAAAAGGGGAAGGAGGGAGAGGTCTGATGGATGGTTATGTGAAATTGGATATCAGGATTTTATTGTACCTGAGAAAAAAGCTACGTAATTTTCCTATGTTCGATTGCTATTATTGCTTTATAGCTCTTTACTCTGGTGAATTGGCAAAAAATATTGAGAAGTAGGAAAGGCTCTTTATTTAGGACCATGTCATATGCTTGGGTCAATTTGAAGATGAAATTATCAGAAGTAATATTATGTTTCTCACCATGGCAGTCAGCCAAGTCATTGGAATTGCTTTTAATTAAACCCTAAGAAGCTCTTACAGAGGTACAGAGACCAAAGCAATCTCTTTTTTTAATTGAATGGACTTTGTTGGCCACAAAACCGGCACTCAGATGTACACACTGTGGAGAGAGGCAGAGAGTCATCCCATTTATCCACCATGTTGCCCTGTGTCCCAACATGGTAAGCCCTTCCTTCACACTATGTAGTTTCCTTAACTGTCTGCATACCTTATGCAGCCCAGTACAATGACCTGCTTTGCAACGGATGATGATAAAATTAGTCCATGCATCATCAAATATGATTGCCTGTATCTCATCAGGTGATTACCCCTCCACAGTACTCCTCTCCGTCTTACAGCTGATGGAGTGTTTACCACTATTGAATGGTCTTGCTCTTTTGCTCCATGTGCTTGTGAGAGTCCCTCTATTTTGTGTTGCACCTCCCCTAGGAGGAAGCTAAAAACTCTTTCCCAACTTTCTTTTTAGCAAAGGCACAGGTATGTGTCCTACGTTCAGTCCTAAGACATCTTTCTAAAGAAAGTGGGAAAGCAGCCCTAGCAATAGCCATTTCCTACCTAGCAAAGACAGTGGTGAAGGGATCTCGCTTTTGAAGAGTGGTGGTGAAGGTTCTGGTCTTCCATCAGTGGTGGAGTTACGGTATCAGGGCCAAAGGTGGTGGCTATGAAATCTTTGCCGGAACACCCCATAGTGTAGTTCAGATATTAACTTCCTCCATGTAGGCTTTAAGCCTGATCCTTTGATCTTCTCTCAGAGATACTGTAAGCTACTTAATATCCTTCAATAAATTCCTTTTCTGTTTGAATTGTCTCATGCTCTTTTGTATGCAACTAAGAACTCCAAGAGACTTATGGATGGAGGATTTTTCTAAAACAAGTATTTTTATTCAACACTACCATTTTATAACCCTGCCTGTGCCAGCGATTTGCATTTAATGCTTAAAGGACTTCTTCTGTTTTTTCCCCTCTCTGTGTCTCTAAAACATATTTGAAGAAATTTAAACAACTATAGACAGTTTTACATGATATCCAGAGAGTGGATGCCTATGAGCATTGTTAATCAAACCATACATTAAAAAATTTAAAAAGAATAAAGTGAATAGTCACAGTAAGAGAATGGGAGGATGAGGAAGGAGAACAACAGAACAGCATGAAGAGTGTTGGCAGCATAAATATAAGGCTGTGACCTTACTCCATACTAGCATTTTGTATACTGAGTAAAGAGCCCTAAGTACTGCAGTGTAGAGGGGAGATTAAAACTAATATGAAATTTCAGGACAGGGGAGGAAGGTGTGGAATGGAAATCTGAGAAAGGACTGCACATAAAAGTAGATTGCAAATCTGAAGGTAAAGGGCTTCTTCAGAGAAACCATGAGCTCAGGCCCTGGACATAAAAGGGAGCAAGATCATGTCTTCAGTAGGGCTCCTCCCAGGGTATAAGAGCCTTCCTTGAAGTGTAATCTTGCCAAAAACAAAACAACACACACACACACACACACACACAAATCAATAATATGTGCATTACTCCTATTATGTAAGCAGCTGTTCTTCCTGGAGTGAGTCCTTTGGCTTAAGGATCTCTGTTTTAGTTTTGCACATTGTGTGTCATTTTCTCCATCATCATCCCCCAAAGTGTATATCCAGTGCTCCTCTTCATGGGCTATTTTGCTAGGTCCACTCAGAGCAAATCTGAAAGAAATTGTTCCTGCCTACAAGGAGTTTACAATTCAGATCTCAAGGAAGCTCCCCTATCCCTCTCTTCTTCCCCCTGATCGCTCATGGTAGAAACCCAGTTTACATCCTGGCAGGCACTGGATTGAGATGGTTGGAAAGTTGAGATCAACCCTTCCCTACCTTTCGTTCCTTAAATACCAGTGTTCTGAGAACATCAGAATGCTCTTTCACTGTTCATATTTTCCTGTTGTTAGTGATTTTAAGATGAAACACAACAAAATTCTAAGAATGACATATTTATGAATAATCAAAGGAACAACATTGAAAGCTATTTTCACCTCTTCCTTTTCTAATAAGTATTAGATCCAAAAGAAACTTAAAAAGGAAAACAAACATTGTAATTTATTACTATCTTTGATATGCAACAGGTCGGTTTTGATGTTGTTCATACGTCTAATTTAATGCCAAACTTTAAACTTCACTCAAAGTTCTCTGAATGCTTTGATCCCCCAGAATTATTGCATAGAATAGAAAAAAGATCTCAAGGAAGAACAAAATACTGATCTGAATATTCAGTGTATATAGCTTTAGAAAATGAAAACATTTATGGATTTTAAAATATGTTATCCCTTGCCTGGTAAAATTTTCTTAGAATACATTACCCAACAGCAACCTATGACTAAAAATAGTAAATGGAATATTCTTTTTTAAAAAATCGCATGTTTAAGTGTCCTGCATCAAAACCTCCAGTCTGGAGGATCAAACATCTGCCAGAAATCTTAAAAATCAAAGATTATAATAAAACACTTGTCCTAGTTCCCTACGCATGGAAATTGACAGGTATCGAGGTGGGTACACAAAGCGCAATCATTCACATCCCTTTAATAAGCCATCTGTCTTTTACGAACTTTATAATTTATTCTTTCTGATTACAAGGAAATATCTCTTACTTTTTAATGAAACGTATAGAAAAATATAAAATTTAACATTTTAAATATTTCTTTTTTTGTGATTCTATTAGATGTAGAGTACATGTAGTTGAGATCATACTGTGTATACAATTTTATACCATGTGTTTTTTCTTACTATAATGTAATGATTTCTCTATGTGTGTTCTCTGTGTATATGTTCTCTATGTGGTATACACACATACCCCATAGTGTGCTAAGCCAGTTTCTACGTTAGAGATTTAGGTTGTTTCCAGTGTTGTACGGTTATAAATAATACTGCATTGAACAGCTTCATGGGTAAAGTTTCCTGTTTTTTAGAGTTCCACTTTAGGAAAGAGTCTGAAAGTGGATTACTGCATCATTTAGTAGGAATGGTGTTAGAGCTCTTGGCATGTACTGAAGATTATTTCCTTAAACCCTCAGATAATGGTACCAACTTAAATTGCTATCAGGGGCTTATCAAAAAGGACAGTTCATGAGATTCTATTACCAGCGTCTGTGCTGTCTTATTGTCCTATGCTCCTCCCCCTTTTAAAAAACTGAAGTTCATATCAAGGTATGCTGTGAGAAAAAAAACATACACAACTCTCTTTGTAGAGGCATTGTTGAAGACATGGTCTGTCACTTACTGACTCCTTAGGACAACATTGAGGAGAAATTGCCCTCAGGTTTCATTGACAAGGAAAGCTGTGCCCTGGGAAACAACTGGTATCCGTAGTCCCATGAAGCCCTGGAATTGCATGTATTTCTTTCTTGGACCACGAGGGGTTTCAGAAGCCAGGTTGTGGCTCATTTTCTAGCCTCATGGAAGACTTAGTCTTTTTTTTTTTTTTTTAATTTATTTTAATTCCAGTATAGTTCTCATACAGTGTTATATTAGTTTCAGGTGTACAATATGACTCAACAATTCTGTACACTACTCAGTGCTCATCATGGTAAATGTACTCTTTATCCCCATCACCTATTTCACCCATTCCCCCCACCCACCTCCCCTCTGGCAATGATCTGTTTGTTCTCTATAGTTGAGAATCTGGTTTTCTTTTTGTCTCTTTATTTTGTTGCTTAAATTCCACATATGAGTGAGAAGATATGGTATTTGCCTTTTCTGACTCATTTATTTCACTTAGCATTATACCCTCTAGATCCATCCATGTTTTTGCAGATGGCAAAATTTCCTTCTTTTTTATGGCTGGATAATATCCCAGTGTATGTATATATACATCTTCTTTATTCATTCATCTATTGATGGACACTTGGGCTGCTTCTGTAATTTGGCTGTTGTAAGTAATGCTGCAATAAACATAGGGGTACATATATCTTTTTGAATTAGTGTTTTCCTATTCTTTGGGTAAATACCCAGTAGTGGAATTACTGGATCATATGGTATTTCTATTTTTAATTTTTTGAAGAATCTCTGTACTGTTTTCCATAGTGGCTGCACCAATTTGCATTCCCACCAACAATGCAAGAGGGTCCTTTTTCTCCGCATCCTCACCAACACTTGTTTCTTCTTTTTTACTTTAGTTATTCTCACAGGTGTGAGGTGAGATTTCATTGTGGCTTTGATTTGCGTTTCTCTGATGATGAGTGATGTCGATCATCTTTTCCTGTGTCGGCCATCTGGATGTCTTCTTTGGAGAAATATAGTTCATATCTTCTGCCCATTTTTAATTGGATTATTTGTGGTATTTTTGTGGTAAGTTATATAAGTTCTTTATGTATTTTGAATATTAACCCTTTATCAGATATGTCATTTGCAAATATCTTATCCCGTTCCATAGGTTGCCTTTTAGTTTTGTTGATTGTTTCTTTTTCTGTGCAGAAGTTTCTATTTTGTGAATGTTAAGTACATCAAGACTGGCAGATGCCAAGGAACTAAAAATTCACCACAGTCTTCTCCATTGCACCCCCTTCCACCTTCCTTTCCCAATATATGGCTCCTTTGCTGGGTCTGTCTTCTTTTTTTTTTTTTATAGCAATTTGAGAATTCTGCAACAGTGGACTGACTTTTCATTTGTGAAATGAATTTCTGTGTTCAGTGTGTATCAATGAAAAAATGAACCAAAAATTAAATTTACCAGAAACTGGCAAAAAAAAAAAGTTTCTATTTTGATTTAGTGCCAGTAGTTTATTTTTTAGAAGGCTTATTCTTTGAACTTATTTTGGCTTTGATTTGATTTTCTTACCTTAAAAATAATTTTTATGTCATTAATTATATTTTTAACCTGCTTTAAATTCTTAAAGAAAATAGATGTGATCTAAATTAATTATTAAATAGTTTTCAGTTAAGGGGCACCTGGTTGGCTCAGTTGGCTAAGCGACTGACTCTTGGTTTTGGCTCAGGTCATGATCTCAGGATTGTGAGATGGAACCCTGCATTGGGCTCTGCGTTCAGTGGGGAGTCTGCTTGAGATTCTCTCTCTCTGCCCCTTTTCCTCCCCTCTGCTCACTCTCTCTCTCTCAAATAAATAAAATCTTTAAAAAAAATAATAAAAAATAGTTTTCACTTAAGAATTTGATGATGAAAAATATTGTTGCTTTAAATTGTATTTTATTGAATCTTTTTTGATCAAACAGTTATAGTTCCTCTTTAGCAGTTTCTGATTTGTTTCCTTTGCCCATTTATCTCCTAAGGTCTTATTTTTCCCTTGATAATTTTTTTTTTCATATGACCTCACTGATATGAGGAATTCTTTTTTTTTTTATTATGTTATGTTAATCACCATGCATTACATCATTAGTTTTTGATGTAGTGTTCCATGATTCATTGTTTGCGTATAACACCCAGTGCTCCATGCAGTACGTGCCCTCTTTAATACCCATCACCGGGCTAACCCATCCCCCCACACCCCCTCCCCTCTAGAACCCTCAGTTTGTTTCTCAGAGTCCATAGTCTCTCATGGTCATCTCCCCCTCTGATTTACCCCCTTCATTCTTCCCTTCCTGCTATCTTCTTTTTTTAACATATAATGTATTATTTGTTTCAGAGGTACAGGTCAGTGATTCAACAGTCTTGCACAATTCACAGCACTCACCATAGCACATACCCTCCCCAAAGTCTATCACCCAGCCACCCCATCCCTCCCACCCCCACCACTCCAGCAACCCTCAGTTTGTTTCCTGAGATTAAGAATTCCTCATATCAGTGAGGTCACATGATACATGTCTTTCTCTGATTGACTTATTTCGCTCAGCATAATACCCTCCAGTTCCATCCACATCATTGCAAATGGCAAGATTTCATTCCTTTTGATGGCTGCATAATATTCCATTGTATATATATACCACATCTTCTTTATCCATTCATCTGTTGATGGACATCTTGGCTCTTTCCACAGTTTGGCTATTGTGGACATTGCTGCTATAAACATCGGGGTGCACGTACCCCCTTCGGATCCCTACATTTGTATCTTTGGGGTAAATACCCAGTAGTGCAATTGCTGGGTCATAGGGTAGATCTATTTTCAAGTTTTTGAGGAACCTCCCTACTGTTTTCCAGAGTGGCTGCACCAGCTTGCATTCCCACCAACAGTGTAGGAGGGTTCCCCTTTCTCCGCATCCTCGCCAACATCTGTCGTTTCCTGACTTGTTAGTTTTAGCCATTCTGACTGGTGTGAGGTGGTATCTCATTGAGGTTTTGATTTGGATTTCCCGGATGCCAAGTGATGTTGAGCACTTTTTCATGTGTCTGTTGGCCATTTGGATGTCTTCTTTGGAAAAATGTCTGTTCATGTCTTCTGCCCATTTCTTGATTGGATCATTTGTTCTTTGGCTGTTGAGTTTGATAAGTTCTTTATAGATTTTGGATACTAGCCCTTTATCTGATATGTCATTTACGAATATCTTCTCCCATTCTGTCAATTGTCTTTTGGTTTTGTTGACTGTTTCTTTTGCTGTGCAAAAGCTTTTCATCTTGATGAAATCCCAATAGTTGATTTTTGCCCTTGCTTCCCTTGCCTTTGGCAATGTTTCTAGGAAGAAGTTGCTGCAGCTGAGGTTGAAAAGGTTGCTGCCTGTGTTCTCCTTTAGGATTTTGATGGACTCCTGTCTCACATTTAGGTCTTTCAACCATTTTGGGGCAATTTTTGTGTGTGGTGTAAGGAAATGGTCCAGTTTCATTCTTCTGCATGTAGCTGTCCAGTTTTCCCAACACCATTTGTTGAAGAGACTGTCTTTTTTCCATTGGCCATTCTTTCCTGCTTTGTCGAAGATGAGTTGACCATAGAGTTGAGGGTCCATTTCTGGGTTCTCTATTCTGTTCCATGGATCTGTGTGTCTGTTTTTGTGCCAGTACCATACTATCTTGATGATGACAGCTTTGTAATAGAACTTGAAGTCTGGAATTGTGATGTCACCAACTTTGCTTTTCTTTTTCAACATTCCTCTGGCTATTTGGGGTCTTTTCTGGTTCCATACATATTTTAGGATTATTTGTTCCATTTCTTTGAAAAAAGTTGATGGTATTTTGATAGGGATTGCATTCCCTTGATAATTTGTATGACTATTTTGTGTAGTAAGGCTATCAAGGCTATCAGTCTTTTTCATAATTTGTTGCAAATAATTGCTAGTTTTCTTTTTTTAAGATTTTATTTTATTTATTTGAGAGAGAGAGAGAGAGAGAGAGAGAGCAGGAGCTGAGGGGAGGAGCAGAGGGAGAGGGAGAAGCAGACAACCTGCCAAGCAGGGACCCCGACACAGGACTTGATCCCAGGCCCCTGGGATCATGACCTGAGCATAAGGCAGATGCTTAACCGACTGAGCCACCCAGGCGCCCCACTAGTTTTCTTTCTGATTTTGTATTATTTTTATCTTTAAAAAGTTCCCTTGTTATTTCATCACATTCTCTACAGCAGGCTTTAGAGGCACTCAGGCCATGAACTGGTGGATAGTAGAATTGATAATAGTAGTATTATTTGTAATTTCTGTAAAACCACTTACAGTCCAGTATTAGTCATCTGTTAAACTCCACTGGCTTTACAGACTACTCTATGCCAGTGCCAAACTGAATTAATTATTGCACCTTATTATGTTTGGGGAAGGGATGCTTAGTTACTGTCCTTTTACCAAAACTGCCTAAGCAATCCTTACTATTTTATTTTTCTGGGTACACTTAAAATTATTTTGCTAACATCTCCCAAATTTCTTAAGCATTATGTATTTTATTAAATCTGTAAATTGACTTTGGAAGAATAGACATCTTTATAATATTCTGCTTTCCATTCAAGAATGTGTCTCCATGTATTCAACTTTTCTTTTAAGTATTTTAGTAAAACTTTATGATTTTATTCATTTAGTTCCCACAATACTCTGGCTAATTTTACTCTTGGGAATTTTATATCTTCTCTTGCTTTTGTGAATATGATCCTTTGCCATTATTCTTTATAATGATTATTGTCAATATATAGAATAGCTATGGATCTTTGGACATTTACCTATATTTAGCCATTTTTTGTAATTTTTTTCTTTGTGTTTATACATATGGAGTCTTAACAACTACATATAATGATAGTTTCTTCTACTTTTTTCCTATGATTATTTCTTAAATCTTTGGTCCATATTTTTATTCCATTGGCCAGTGCTTATAAAACCAAGGTAAGTGATACTGGTAATAATGGGCCTCTTTTTTTTCATTCCTGATTTTAATGGGAATGCCCCCAGTGTTTCCCCAATAATAATACGGCTGTTGGCTTGATATAAATACATTTTTGAGAATATATTTTCCTATACCTAGATTTCTAATGAGTCAAAAGTGAGTGTGAAATTTTAAGGATTAACATTTCAATATATATTGGGATACAGTCATAGGACTTACTTATATTACCATATGATTATTATGAAAACAGTTCTTTTTTTCTTTCTTTTTTTTTATTTATTTGACAGAGAGAGTGAGAGAGCACAAGCAGGGGGAGCAGCAGAAGGGGAGGGAGAAGCAAGCTCCCTGCTGAGCAGGGAGCCCGAAGCAGAGCTTGATCCCAGGACTCCGGGACCATGACCCGAGCCAAAGGCAGGCGCCCAACGGACTGAGCCACCCAGGCGCCCCTATGAAAACATTTCTTAATACTAAACTATACTTTCATCCTGATAAAACTAATGAGATGATGGTATACTGTTTCTCTTTTCATTGTGTCAAAATCAACTTGCTAACACGTTATTCAAGATTTTTGTATCTGTATTTGTGATTGAGATTGGTCCTTAGTTTTTGTTCTTTTTGTATTACTGCTGTCAGGTTTTTATACCATGGTTTTCTATTTTCATAATTAATTGGATGACTTCCAATGTTTTTTTTATCCTTCAAAATAGTTAACATAGTAGCAATTATCTGATCTAATAAGGTTGAGAAAATAATATTGTTTCTATTTCTATTTATTTATACCCTGAAACACTCCAAGAAGAACTGTTTTCTAAAACCTATAAGGGGATAAAGTATAAGTAGGACAAAATAAGCATTTGTAGAGAAGGTTCACAACTTTCACTAATACTAAAAATGGAAAGAGAAGTTCCCTTGAGATTACTTAAAGGCCATGCTGCCTGACCCAGTCACCAAAGCCCTCACAACCACCCCACACTAATGAGGCTGTGTGTGTGTGTGTTTTTTAAATAATATCCTAAAATGACAGCTGATGGCATAATATCAAGGTACAATTAATAAAATTGGGCAAGTGCAAAAAAAAAGGAAAACCATCTCAGGTATTTGCACTCTCCCACATGGTCTGCCCAACACAAGAGATATAACATTCAGAGTATCAAATGGATGCATTGCCTGTTCTTTGGGGCCTTCATAAATACTCTTTTAGTAACAACAGCTTTTTCTGAGGAATGAGCAGTAGAACATTTGAAGTTATAATCACTCTCTGCCAAGAATCTGTGGTGCAGATTTTCTGTATCGATGCCATATGCTTTGAAACTCAACCAAGGAGGTGCTGATCTGCTGTCTTCCCTCAGGCCACCTGCCTGACCCGTGGCTGCACCATGGGTCTGAGCGGGGCCCCTCATTGCTCCGTCCTCACACCCAGCTGCACCTGTGAGAATCTGTAGATTGACTCTTACATCAGATGGCCTTCTACCTTGCACTCTCTACCTTCCATTCAAGCCCTTGAAACCCCTGTTTGTCATCCGGCTGCCCTGAATTGAGTATCTCTTGTTTTGTCTTGCACAGAACCACTCCGCCCTTCCTCTGGGAGCCACATCCTACCCTTCTGTTGTTAAGTGACCCTTTCTCAGGTTCTCTATGGTCCTGGTGGGCATGTCCATCGGGGTGCCCTTGGCCCACTTCTCTACCTGTCATGTGCCCCACGCTGGGCCATTCAGACTCTCCTGAGAATCCCAGGCTAGTCACACAAGGGCTAAAGGCAGAAGCAGCTGAATCATTCCAAAGACAGAGCCCTAAAAGAGGCTTCTCAGAGTTCAGCAATCTCCTGGCTCCTGTCTTTCCCAGACCTGGCCTTTAGTTCTTCCTGTGGTTCTGACTGACTCACTTTTCTTCCAGTCTCTCACCTTTTTTGGCCCCAGTTAGTCTCAGGTTCCTTTTCTGTTGTTTACAGACTACACTGTCACAGGCCTCATATCTGGATTCAAGCTCTGTGTAGCCCCTTTGGATTGTTGTCCCAGTTGTACTGTCTGCTGGCTTATCACCTTGGCTGCATTCCTGGAAGCTGTCAGGTCACTCTCCATGCTCCGCAGCTTGCAGTCCAGGCCTGCCCCCCATCTAAGACCCTCCCTGGACCTTAGGGCCCCAGCCCACATCAAGGCTTTTTTTCTCCTGGCAGAGGAGACCAGGCACAATGCTCCGAATGCCTGGGGGATTTCACCAACCTGAACTTTTATCACATCTCTGCTGTCCACCGGCCTGTGTTCTAAGCAGAGTTTTGCCAGCTTGCTGCCCTTGTTCTAAGGATCCTCAATAAGCGCCTTGTTTATATGCATATGTTTCCAGATAAGAGGAAGAGGTGGTGCCCACCATAGAGACAACTGTGCCTTTGGAGTCCTACCCAGCCTGAATGTCTACTGTCCCTGGGACCCAGGCGCCCTGCAAGAACACATGTATCAACCTGTGATGGTGGCATTTCAGTATCCTTTTTTCCTGGCAAGAATCCGTATGTTCTCTGTAAATAAGAATATGGAGGCCTGACTTCTCTGGGACTCTGAGGTCTCAGCATGATAACCTCTAAGACCACTGCCTATTCCCACTGATCTCTGAGCTGGTTGTCCCAGGGTGTCTGAATCTTGTCTTCTTCTGGAAAGGTGGTACATGAAAGGCAGCCTTAGAAATTGTATTTTACCAAAGTGACATTTGGCCTGTGTGTTAAGTTACAGCCATCTTCTGGTGTCTTATGAACACTGTGTTCTGTGACTCTTGGCTTAACCTATCAGGATGGTATGCCAAGGAAATCTCTTCACTGAGCATTCTGAGAAATAATGATCTGGAATATCTTCTACTCACTTCTTTGCCATTTCTGCATTGCCTCTTGGAAAACCTAAAGAGATGTGTTTTGGGAATCTCTTTGAAGGAAATCCTGGGCCAACTTCTGTTCTTCCAAGGGGTCTCTGAGCCTACATCCCCAGAAAGCCTTTAGAAATGAGCTACTTCTTTTGGAAACAGGAATTTCATGGCATTAAGGTGACCTCTGAGGTGGTGAGTCCGAGGGACAAGATGGAGCCCACCATACTTTTAAGGCACCTGGTAGGAACCTGACTCTGCCTCTTGTGGGATAAATGAAAAGGGAGTGGAAAGAAGGGAAGAAGCTTCTTCCTCGGCAGGTCAGAGAGCAAACAATGGCTTCATAGCCTCAAACACTAAACTTTTGGTAAACTATAGCTAAGTCCTTATGCCAAAATGAGACTTCCTACTCCCTCCCTTGGAATTAACAATAACCTGGGATGAGCTTGATTTGAGTTTTCATCAATAGTAAAGGTGGGAAGCTACTTTCTTGGGATTTAAAGAGACCCCTGGCAAGTGTGTAGGGAAGAGGCACTAAGCTTCACCTAACCCATCAGGCCCAATTACTAAAGAACTTTTAAGTCTGGGCTGCCATGGCACACAGAAATGAGCTTAAGTTTTAGTGAGGGAGATCTAGTGTCCATATAGGATATATCATTATGCAGATTACTATGGTACCCAGAAAACTCTCCTTGGGACTGGGAGTGGAGCAAAGGCAAGGGGAGTTCAAAAATAGTTTTATCAGCAGGGAATAGCTTTAGCTTAAGTGTAGAACAAGAGAAAATATGAATTAGACTATTAATACTAAATGCTTCCATCATTAACATTCATAGTGTTGCTACCTCTTAAAAGAAAAAGCAATTTGTGACCCCAAAGTTGGTCAGGACCAATAGCTATGGATCATGCTAAAAACAGAAGCGAACCTAACTTCCTGAGAGCTTACTACATGCATTTTTAATAGTTAGATCATATGGGGAAATCAGCATGTCTATTATTAAAATAGAAAAGCTGAGTGTTGGGACACTAATTTGGAGCAGGAAGATTATACAAGACAAATTCTGAACATGGGAACAATAATTCTCCCTTGAGCAGGAAAATAATTTCATAGAATTTAATGTATTAACAAACCTGTGGTAGAATGTTAAAAAGGAAAACCCAGCCAGTGATAATATGAAAGACTCAGTGGGAATATTCAGATTTGAGCTATAAATCATGTAGATACAGATGATCCATAACACTTATTACAGAGCTTGGAGAGGCAACAGAAGTCACTGCAAGAAAAAGAGCAGGAAAAATTTCGGAGAGATTACTTTTGCTACAAAGTAGGCGTGTGTGTGTGTGTGTGTGTGTGTGTGTGTCGGCTTTAATCTAAATCGAATTAAAATGATAGGAATGCTAGAGGTTTCTCAAGGTGTTGTACTAGTCCCCCTCCAAAGAAGGCATTGCAAAATTTGAAGCTGTAAGATTCTTGATAAGTCTCATTTTGGAAAGAGAAGTTCAAGAAGGAATGTAGAACATTAATTAAATGTCTGAACAATTATTCAAATGTATTTAGCACCTGTCATATGGAAAGCATTGTGTTAGGGAGTTTGTGAGCTTTCAAAGGCTGTGACACTTCAGGAAATGAGACGGGATACTCATAGCCAAGCTGGTAAGTAATGAGGCCATACACAAAGTAGAACCTAAAAGCTCTCAGTGTGCGGAGCTGATTATGTCTGCCTTTGCACAATGTTTGTCTCAGTTTGGGTTTAGGGTTTGATTTCCTGGAGAATCGATCATTTGAAGTATAGTGAGCAGGTGAAGAGGTGAGATGAGGAAGGGAGGAAAGTCAGTGGCTTGTTGACTAAAAAATTGGTTACCACTATGGCCAACTGTGGGCTATCCTACTGAAAACTCTCTGAGAGACTATATAGATTGTTCTCAGAATTGTCCCTCTGTGGGACAGTACATATCTGTCAACTGCCATCCTTCAGTGGTTGACAGTTCCCCAGGCCCACTGTGCAAGCCCCAGGATGGCTGAGGTCAGAGAATGGCCAGGTCATCCTGGCCACCTCGTGATTCAATGCTTCCTCTGTGCCGAAGTCTCTCTGGTGGGCAATGACATGAGACATATGGACAGGCTGAGGCATTTAATGCTTTACACAGAGGCACTGTACAGCCACTGAGAGACTTGGAGCGAGCGAGTTGCCTACTCACAGCCATGCTGTCTCCTGGGCATCCCTAAACTAATGGCTGGGGCCCTACATGCTGTGTGAGATGGATCCAGTTTCTCTGCCACCATTCAGATATCAGGAGCTCCTCTTCCTGGCATGGAGACCTCAGGAACACAACAGGCCCTCTGTGTCTTAGCAGTGGTCACATGCACTGAGGCTAGACATTTCCTGGATGACAAATCTACTTTATTCTAGACTTGCAGATACAGGGAGCAAGCCATACAGAGGGGGACAATTAGGGGCCCACAGAGTCTACCCAGGGTGTAGCCCTGAACAGATTAATTTCTTTTCATTCATCTCTCTCTTTCTTAACAGGAAAGCTTTCCAGACATCAAATTCTGCTTCTTTTTACCCACAAATGTCTCTTGTGGACATTTCTACTCCCTTCCCCATCTCTGCCCTAGCACAGACTCCCAAGGGACATGTGACCTTTCCTCTGAGTCACCGGGGGAAGCCAGAGACCTCTTCGGGCTCTTGTTTCCGGACCCTGCCTGGTGCAACTCCTTCCTTGGCAGTTTGGGCAGAAAGATTCTTCCAGAATCTGAGTTTTCACTGAGATTTTTTTTTTTTTCATTTTTAGCCTTCCATCTGGACCCTAAAAGCTTCCCTTGTGCTTACTAAGATCCTGAAGCCATTTTGGCTTCAAGAAAATATTTGCCAAACACTTTCTATGATTTTAGGGACCAACAGATGACATCCTTCTTGTTTTCTCAACATCAATGAACTCAACACACAGCTCAGTTTAGATCAGTAGACATTTGTATGTATGTACCAGATACTTTTTTAGAGTTGTGGATAATGTAAGTGTAAGAATGTTTTCAGCTGTGAGTAAAGGAAGTCTACCCAGAAGCTAGAGAGAAAGGCATACACTTCAATCTTATAATTGTTTTTGTTTTTTTTTTTATAGATCTTAAAAGACTTGGCCAGGGAGTAAAGGAGATTGATAGCATGATGTCTGGCAGAAAGGGAGGGGACTGATGATTCATGACCCTGCAGTCACAGAAGTTCCAAAGAGGACATTATTTGGACATAGCAAAAACTCCTCCAAGTCAGGTTGAACCTCCTTCAGGGCATATGGGACCATATTAAATTTAATTCACTACTTCTTGAATTTATTTTTCAGTCAGTAATTATTATTAATCATAATAATGATTATTGCCATTAAGGCTTTAAACTCTAAACAAAATGTAATCCATCTAGTTAGGAGTTAGATTTGGTTATGCAATGGTATGAATTTCATGCCTTTCTGTAAAATATGAAGAAACATGCTCTTAGCATTCTGTGTAAAATCATTTTGTTAAATATATGTGTACAATAAAAAAAGATTGATCCCTGAATAGAATCAAGGTTCTTTAAGGGAGGAGGAAGTTGTGTTATATAGGTGTGGAAGTTGGATTGGATGTTGGTAAGATAACCAGTAGAGTTGGATAGGTTTTCAAGTATGATTGGTTATTCCTTGTAGTTTCCTATCACCTGCAAATATTTATAAGATTGTCTTTTATTTTTCTTCAAGTAAAGGAAGAATTGTGACTAATAATTCCAACATCTGAAGTCTTTTCTTGAAGAAGGACTGAAGTTTCTTTTTTTATATGTGCTATCTGCTGACTCTCCTTCATGGTGTCACCCTTTGTTGTGTTTAGTTGTTTTGTGTGCTTCATCATTTTCTATATTTCACCAAAAACTTATTTGAGGGTATTTTTTTGAAGTCTAGGATAAAGGAGAGCTCCTCCAGAAAGTATTTGTGTTTCCTTCTGCCAGGGTCCTGGGAAATTACCAGCCCAATATTAAACTGAGTTCATAGTTTCATGAAAATTGGGGGCTGCAAACCCAGCCACCAAAGGAGGACTTAAATTTTTTTTAAGTAAGGCATTCTAAAGCACAGGCCCCCTCAGGCACAGAACCCTTGCTTGCTCAGGACTAAGGGTAGTACTGGTTGCAATGAACATCTTCATGTGCATTAAGTTTGTGAGGCTTAAGGTAGGATTAGTGCTTAGGGAGTGACCTTGAATTGGGAGCTAAAATTGTCAGGAAAGGTGCAGAGTGACATGGAGGTCTGAGCATAGCAGCAACGTTTAAAAGTGTACAATAACCCGATGAAGTAAGATTCAGAGCTGTAGGTTTTCGGGAGAAGGGAGGAACAATGTTCTGGAAGCAGCACTGAGGAACAAGAAGACACCACCTTCTTATCTCCTGACACAATGATACAAGCGCTGGAGAGGGAAAAACCAGCCATCACTTGCAAGGGCTGTGGAAGCAGTTTTTCTAGCGGGAGAATCAGGCTTCCATTAGAGCAAGAAGTGAAGGGAACCTTCAGAGAAGAGGCTGAGGATATAGGGCATTTTGCTAATGGTTGGATTGTGCCTTCCAGAAGCCTGAAATAGAAGGTTCCAGGAGCTGGATAGGGAGAAAGGGACATATAATATGTGCTCAGTCTATGAATGTTAAAATGTAGGAGATGAGAAACGCACTTGAGATTCTCGAGCTGCTTGTGATAACCAACATAAATAGGCATTAAAGGCTTAATGAGATTAACATTGGTAGACTCAAGACCTAGAATGTTGGGGAAGCTGTGAGCATTGAGGGTGAGAAGGGTGTCTGCCTTGTTACCGACCCCTGATGATAAAAGTGAGGAGAACTGGAGTGAGGGAGCCTTGGTCCAAGTGTATGGAGGCTCTCTTGAGGTCTCTGTTCTGGAAGCCAGCTGTTAGTTACCCTAAGCTTGCAGAAATATAGAACTAACACCCTAAGGCACACACTTGGGAAAACCTCACTCTGGCTACTAAAAGGAGAGGGGTATTGACATTTAATCTATGTCCACTATGTGCTAGGCACTGTGCTTCTTGTGTGTGTTACCAAGTTTAATCACCACAGCATCTATACTTAGTATGAATCATTTTTATTGAATCCACTTTGCAGATGTGAAGATAGATCTCTGATGCTCCTTAGGTCTGTTTAATGGCTTACTTTCTAGCATGCTCAGCAGATACTGCACTGAGGAATAAAATTCCAGATTGGTAGGAGGGTAGTGATGTTAGAGCACTGGGATTTTTGTGGGGACAGTGCAGGGGTCCCCTTTACCCTCCCATCAGCTCCTACAAGACAAGTGTTTTTAGGAGAGAAAACACATCCTTATAGAAGGTGTGAAGACTATTCTGAGTGCTGGATCCAATAGGCCTGGGGTGCACCAAGTGGGACCCTAAAATGAGAGCAGTCTTGGAGGGCAAGCTGAAGAATCTATGCATCCCATTGTCATGAGAAAATGTTTGTTGTCCTCCAAAGACACAGCATTAAAATACCCTCCTCTAACACAGGCTGGTCTTAAATTGAACATTTCTCAAAAATACACAATCAGGAATTTTCCTGTAGGAGCTGTTATCTTCAACTACATCAAGACATGAAAACTTGGCAGCTAGAAAAAGTTTTACACTTCTTTAAGTATCTTCCATGGACAGCACAGGGAAGAGAGAGCATAGCACAGGGCACATTGATCATTCATGGTTTTCTGAACTTCTCTCATTGGAGAAATAATCCATTATCATATGACACTTGGGGGAAGGTTTTCAAGAGGGGGTCTGTCTGTCCATTTGGAATCCCAGTGAATCACCAGCATGTTTTGCACTTGAGAGTTCAATGTTTTATGTATAATATGCAGGCAATCTGGATAAGGTTTGTGATTTTTTTAATTTCACTATTTCATTTCCAATAGTGGATTTATTTGGCATTCCCATGGGATATCTTTTCCTTCTCATTGTAACCACACAATAATTTTAGCCTAAATACTTATTTAATTTAAATAATTTGCTTATGTAGAGGGATCCATGAAATGCAAATAAGCAGCATGTTCCTAATTTTCATGTTTCCTGACCACCTTACAGCACCACATATGGTTGAAAACTGCAAAGCCTTTAACCCAAACAAGACCCAGGCAGGTTTTCAAAGACCGATGCAGCAAAGCAAGTGTAGGTTCCACAGGACAGGGGAATCATAACTTAAGAATTCTTGAGAGCCTGAAATGGAGAGAAGGGAAAATTATAGGCCAAGGACTGTCTCTGTCTTCCTCTTTCCACAGCATCATGCATAGTGACACAAACCAAGCCAGAAAGCTCATGTGACAACACTGCTCAGAATTGACCTGCCTCATCCCCACCAGCTTCTCTGGGCAGGAGGCTGCCTGAGGTGCCTGGTGTCTCTTCTTTCCAGCACAAGTACATGTATTTATATTTATATCCATACACTGATCCATTCAGTCATCCAGGCATATTTACACGAATCAAACACATTCGGCAGATAAACCGTGTGTGTGTGTGTGTGTGTGTGTGTGTGTGTGTGTGTGTGTGTGTAAGAGAGAGTTCCACCCACTGCATCCCGCTCAGGCGTTGCGCTTTGTCTTGCTTCAGGTCACCCATCATTAGAGCGGTGATCTTAGGGAAGACGCCTGCCAGTATGGCAGTGTGGCCGCCTCCCACGCTGCATTGGTTCCATGTGAGCGCGGAGCTGGCAGGGTCCTGGATTTGGGGAAGCCCAGCTTCTCGCAGCATCTGGGTGGCAGTGCGTGAGATGGGGGGGACAGGTGGGGAGCATGGAGGGGCGGCGGCCAGAGGCCCACGGACGACTACGCCCTCCTCTACCGCCGCGGAGTGGCCGCGCCAGCCTTGGGGAAGGCGTCGCCCGAGTAGGCTTCCCCGAGTCGCCGAACCCTGCTGCTTTGCAGTGGGGAAGCTCAAGTGGGGGTCTCCAGCACGCCAGTGTTATCAAGAATACAAGCAAAATTCCCGTGCCTCCCTCTCCTTTTTAAATATTCAGTAGTTCCCCTAAAAGAACCACTTTCACTGTCTGCCTGTGGATCCGGCTGTCTGCTCCCCCACCCCCGCTAGCATTAGGGAGACCTCAGACACCCAGCAAAGTTTCCTCCGGTTTGCTCTTGCTGCGCCCCAAGTTTCCCCTCGCCTTGTATGCCAGTGTGCAGGTGGAGGGTGGAGGAATGGTCAAGTTAGCCCTGCCAGGTGGCTCCCTGGAAGAGGAGTTGACGTTAACAGGTCAGTCCCAGGCCCAGAAATAGGGGGCAAACCCTCTCTCCCCTGGCACCAGCTAGGTCCCGCACTCAGAATGCCTTGATTTCTCGGGGGACCAGACTAGGGGCGCCGCCCCCAGTGCACCACGCAGAGCACTGGCGCCCCTTTCCTCCCCCCCCTCCCCTGCAAACTCGGAGCCCTGACTCCTCCGAAAGTACTTGCCACTTGGGGGTGGCCCCGCCCCTACCCCCAGTCCCACGCTGCAGCCAGACCTCAGAACCCGGACTTCCCGGAGCCAGTCAGCCCGCCCCGCACCGAGTCGTGCGCCGCTCCCGCCTCCCCCGCACGGTGACTCCCTCCCTGCGCACCGCTCGTACTCTCGCCACGCCGCCGCCCGGCACTGCAGCACCGCGAGGAGGAGGCGCAGGCGGAGGAGGGGGAGGAGGACCGCAGCGTGCAAGCCCGGAACCACTTTCCCGCCCCTCCTTTCGTCGCTGACACGCTCGGAGGAGTCACCACTCCGCGCGTTGCCGGCGACAGTGGCAGACGGAGGCGGCCCCGGGGAGAGAGCCCGAGCGACGCCCGCGAGGCAGCAGCTGCAGCGCTGACACTACCTAGGGCAGGGGGTCCCAGGCGGCCGGAGCGGTGAGTGAGGGACCCCGGCAGCGGTGGCGGGTTTTCCAGCCGCCGCCTAATTTCCCTTCCCGACCGGGGAGCGGGGCGCTGCAGCGTGGGGAACTTTTTGCATCCTTGTAGAAGCGCAACTTTGCCCCGCGTGCCCCCGAGGAAGCGGCTGCAGGTTCCTATTTGCTGGGGCGGGACCGGGGAATTCGGGGTAAAGCAGATGGAGTGACTCCCGGATGCCCAGGGTAGGTCAGGGGAGGCGGGTGCACTTTATCCGGATTCCCGGGGGAGGCGGGTGGGCGGCCGCGGGGATTCGAAAGCCGCGCCCGCCTTCCTTGGGGACCTCCACAATACTTTGCTTCCGTGGTTGGACGGGGAGGGGGAGGCTGAATCAGAACAGCAGCTCCGAGCCCCCAGCCAGGCGTCCGACCTGTACCCCGACCCCAGCTTTGGGCTCAACTTTTCGGCGGGGATCCCTCTGCAGACGTGCGGCTGGCAGGAGAGCAGAGAAAGCCGCATTGGGCGCTGTGCGAGCCTGAAAGAAACCCCGGGGCTTAAAAAACGATTCCACGGAAGTCCCCGAAGCCCCCGTCTCGTGTCTGCGCGAGAAGCAGAGAGGGATGGAGAACCGGGAATCCCGCGGGGCTGGGGCTGTTTGTAAGTGCCGCACTTGACTCCAAACACTCCGCCCTCATTCAGTCAAAACCTACGGAGCGCCCACCAGGCTCCAGGTGCGGCGAAACAGACCGACTGGCGTGCGGCTCCCGGGGGGAGAGGGGCTATCACCCATAAACAAGCCACCTGGGTCCTTTCAGGTGGTGGTGAGAGCTGTGGCGGCGCTCACCCAGTCCATCTGACCCTTTCAGTGGTCAGACTCTCTCCCCTCCGCCTGGGTTCTAGAACTGGGAAGACTTTTCTCCAGCTTGTCGCGGGGATCTCCCGGGGCTGGGCCCATGAAGACTGCGCAATATGGTGATGAACTTGTGGGGCAGCGGGCACCCCGCCGCAGATGCACAAAACCCAGGGTCTTTCTGTGGGCGTGCGGGGACCTTAGGCGCCGGGCGCGCGGGGGGGGAGGGGGAGGGGCTGAGTCACAGAGGCGGGAGCCGGGGTGGGGAGGGCGCTCACGTCACCCGCTGCGTGTGCTAGTGATGCAAATGCAGACCCACGAGGGGCGGGCGGGGTGGGGGCTGGAGGGGAGGCGGCGGAGTCTCGGTCTGGGAGAGCGCGCGTGTGCGTCGAAGTCGCTCGGGTGATGGATGCCCCGCAGCGCACCCGGCGGGGGCGGCGGGGCGGCGGGGGGGACTGCGGCCTGGGCGGCGAGGAAAGCCCAGCAGGGCGGGTCTGCGGGCGGGCCCGCAGCTCCGCAGTGCGCCACAGTGCCGGGAAGGCGCCGCAGCGGCCAGGCGCTCCTCGGGGATCGAAAGATGGGGCGTCTTTTAAGGCGCCGCAACAGGGATGTCCTGATGGCCTCCTCTCTCAATAGACCGCCTTCCTAAATATTTAGGCGATTGATAGCGCGAGACAGTTGTTTCAGTTTGATTCTTAGCCTTAATCCTGGAAGAGGCTTTGGCATTCATCTCTTTGGCGTTCACTAGTTTTCTGTGGCAAGTTCCGAAAGGCCTCGTGCTCCTGGCAAGTTTTCATGTGAAAGCTTCGACGTTGAGGTTCATGAGATTTCCGTAGTGCTCACCCATGCCTTCGCCATTCTTCAGTTTTGTCAGGAAGCCTGGCCTCTAAGTGGGGCTTGAGAATGGCTTACAAAACAGTGTGCTGCGTTCCTCCTTTAGGACCTAAAAATGTGTGTTGAACGCAGTCCCTGGGAGAAAATAAAAAGCCCAATCCATGTTTCATTTTATTTATTATTATATTTTTAAAAGACCCCACTTTCTGGAAGCCTCCTGGCAAAGGTTTTTCTACTGGCTTTGCTGAATGAGGCCAAATCTGCAGTATGTGCGGCTAAAGGATTGAAAGAGGGGAGCTGGAGGGGAGGAAGGAAGGAAAAGGGGAAGGCAGTCATCAGAGAGCCCAGAGACAAAGATCCTAGTTCCCGCTTTCCGGAGCATTGTGTTACAGTCGCCTCAGGCAAGTGACTTACCTCTTGGGTTCATCCTCCACATTTGAGAAGTCTGAAAAATAGCTCAGACTAGCTCTTACTACAAAGTTGTTTTGAGGACAAAAGATGATGGTCTCAGAGAGCTTTGTGCCTACAAATTCTCTATGAATGGAAAATATTATGAAACACAGTCCCTTTAAGGGAAAAAGAAAAACAATTTTATCTTTTAAAAAATTCTGGAGACATTCACCAGTGCTGTTTCTTTAATGAAATTTAGCTTTCAATGTCAGCAAGCGCAGACGATAGACTTTTCCTAACAGTCTTATATAAAATCAGATGCCATTAGCTGCTGTCTGGAGAATGGAAAAAAAAAAGCACTGGATTACATCTGAGTGTTTTTGGTGATGTAGTAGAGAAAACAGATTTATTTTTCATGACCTGATGACAGTCAAAGTAGGTTCTCTGGTGTGAGCAGCAGACTAGCCTAAGAGCTTTTAGGTAAAAATTCTACTCATTATTAACCCAGTCATATTCCTTAAGTGTGGAAGTTGCCTCAGAAAACAGGATGCAGTTTCCATCCTTAAGGAGATGACCACAAAGGGTATCATAATGTGCAATATATCACGTGACCACAAGTCCCAGAAAATCCATTTCCTATCATTAGGGATATTATCTCTTACGCTAATGTAAACTTGTTGATGATATATTTCATGAATAAAAACATCTGATTTGTCAAAATGCCTTCCTAACCACTCACAATGTTGTTATTCATGTTATTCATACATAATGGTGGATATCTATGAATGGTTAAAGTTAAAATGCCCTATTTATCCTGTGTGGCTGTACCAAGGAAAAACCTATGATTGACCAGTGCTTCTTGGTTCCATGTTGATTTGGATTTTATCAGACCCATGGTTTGCAATATGTACATCATTGTCCATTTAACCCAAACTCATCATTTAGGTTAAGTCTGTCAGTAAACCTGAGAGGCAGCCCCCTGTCTGCATGTGGTTTTGGTACAACATTGCTAAATTGTTTTTGTTTTTGCTTTGCTTTTTCCATTCCAGCCCTATTGAGCAACCAGTGTAAATGTTGCAGTGAATTGAATTTGGAGCTTTCTTTATTTGGCACAGCTGAAATAACAAGGGGAGGGGTCAAGTTACTATTTTAATCCTTGCTGGAAATATGTCTTAATGTTTATTTTTATCACAAACACCCCTTGTAATTAGGGACACTTGCTATTAGTTGGCATATCATCATGGTTTCCCTTGTTGGGAAGAATTGAACAAAATGAAATAAATGGAGAGAGATCAGTGGATTGGATGGTTTGGTACTCTCTGGTTCTACTATTCTTTCCCTAGCTGAAATGCAGAAATATATGATGAGTTATAGTTTATTTTATTTCATAAAATTTTAATTCCAGTATAATTAATATATCATGTTATGTTAGTTTCAAGTGTACTATATAGTGATTCAACAGTGCTCTACATTACTCAGTGCTCATCATGATAAGTGTACTCTTAATCCCCTTCACCTATTTCACCCATCCCCCACCCACCTCCCCTCTGGTAACCACCAGTTTGTTCTGCAAATTCAAGAGTCTGCTTTTTGTTTGTCTCTCTCTTTTTTTTGGTTCATTTGTTTTGTTTCTTAAATTCCACATAAGAGTGAAACCACATAGTATTTGTCTTTCTCTGACTTATTTAACTTAGCATAATACCCTCTAAGTCCATGCATGTTGTTGCAAATGGCAAGATTTCATTCTTTTTTATGGTTGAATAATATTCCATTGTATATATATACACCACACCTTCTTTATCCCTTGATGAGTTATATTTTAAATTTGAACTTTGCTTATAAGTAGAATATAAGAGGTGTTTTTTATTAACTCACATTGCAATTTTACATGGAGTTATGGGCTCTGTTTTTGTAGAATAATTGATCTGTTAGATTTTATATTATGCCATTATGAATATGGATTAAAACATTTTTAAAAGACCGAAATTGAAAAATAATCTGTTTACCAATCTTAGTAAAACAGATATTCAGATGAATTTAACATGACAAATTTTATTTTATTTTATTTAAAGATTTATTTTATTTTTTTTTAAAGATTTTATTTATTTATTTGACAGAGAGAGACACAGCAAGAAAGGGAACACAAGCAGGGGGAGTGGGAGAGGGAGAAGCAGGCTTCCCACAGAGCAGGGAGCCCAATGCAGGGCTCAATCCCAGGGTCCTGGGATCATGACCTGAGCCAAAGGCAGACACTTAACGACTGAGCCACTGGGGCGCCCCTAAAGATTTTGTTTTTAAATAATCTCTAGACCCTACTTGGGGCCCGAGCTTACAACCCCAAGATCAGGAGTTGCATGCTCTACCGACTAAGCCAGACAGGCGCCCCTAACATGACAAATTTTAAATGCTTTCTGTTGAGCACCCAATGTATATTATGGCTGTTGTATCATTTCCTGTGGACAGGGATGTACTGCAAATGATTAAGACTGGAAAGTAAGAACTATATTAATGGGCTTTAGTCTTCTCATAGCACTTGGGTCCTCTTACTACTCAAGAGCACAGTGAGATTTATGACTGATTAGACCAAATGCTTTTTCTTGTTATTTGCTACTCTTTGAAAATTCTGTGGATTAGAATCTTTGTATAGCTGAATAGACCTATGATTCTCAGTAGTCCTGTGTATCATACTTCCCTGGGGAGCTTATTCAAATGGAGATGTCTGAGCTTTATCCTAGACATTCTAAATAAGTAATTCCATGGGTGGGCCCAGAAAATGCTATTTATCAAGCTCTGCCAAGTGGGTTATATGTCATCAATAGGGGTCTACACTTGAAGGAGTACTTGAACCTAGTACTTGACAAGGTGGCAGTGTGGCAGGGCTATCTAGGCTGTGTTGTTCTCTTCAATATTTATTGAATCTCTACTTGAAGCTCTCAGAGAAGTCACCTTCCAGCTGGCAAGACAGACTTAAAGATGACCAAGTTCTGTGGAAGGAGTCAGAGGTGGAGTGAGTGAGGTGGGTGGTTGGGAAGAACCCTGTGGAGACAGTTATGTAGATGGCATCTACATAGGAGCAGCATTTTATAGGTTGCTCTGGTGGCGGAAAGGCTGAAAACCTCAGCATGGCCTTCAAGGCCCTGGATGGCCTGGCCCCTGCGCACTTCCGTAACATCATTTTGCTTAACCTCCAAACCTCTCCTGTCCTAGCAACCTTCAAACATCAGCCCCATCCTGCTACAGCAACCTTATCACCTGCTGTACCCTACCTTCACCATTTTAACTCTTGATGTTCTTTAGACTTCAGTCATCTTCCCTTTCTGGGAGAGCTTCCCAACCCTCTCGGGAGGGGAAATCTTTCTTCTCTCACAGTGTTCTTTTCTTTATAAATAAGGTTGTTGGAGAAAAACAGGATACTCAGTAATTTTGAGTTCAGATTAGTAAAATGTTTCTTAATCTACGTATATCTCAAATATTGCATGGGACGTAGTTATGTTAAAATATTATTTGTTGTTTATATGACATTTAAATTTATCTGGGGCATCCTGTATTTTTATTTGCTGAATCTGGCAACTCTGTTTATAAAGTTCATTAATTTTACCATCTCCTTTTTGAAAAAAGTGAGATTGTTTCATTAATGCCTGTCTCTCCTGGCTGAACTACAAACCCCAAGAGGCCAAGGACAGAATTAGAGATAGGTTGTTGTTTTGTCTTGCTGTTTATCCCTAGTCTCTAAAATAGTATCTGGAGTATAGTAAGAGCTCAGTAAATTTTATCAGATGAATTAGTGAGCTGCTTGAGAAAAATGGTGTAACCATGGACAAGTTTCTTAATCTCTTAGAGCCTTAGTTTCTTCAGCTGTGAAAAGATGATTTTTATATCTACTTTTTAGGATTGTGTGTAAAGGGTAAATGGAGAAAACATACATAAAGCTCCTAGCATGTTGCTTTGCAGGCACTGTACTATAAAAGATGTCTTTTCTCTTCAATCAGTATTTGGTTTGTAACATGAAGGGATTCCTTCTTAATGTAGGAAACCCTGCTTCCTTTTTATTATAATGCAATCCTGTAAGTAGTCAAGTGTTTCCTGAATGTTTACCAAATGCAAGGTACTCTGGAGATTCAGCTGTGCAGTTACAAAAGTCCTGTTCCCAAGGAGCACCCATCTGTGGAATGGTAACACTGAGGGCTCGCTTCATGGACCACGCGGGGCCTCATGGTTAGAAAGGCCCTGTGTTTGGTTTATGCTCTGCCATCACCTCTTGAAATTTTTTGAACAAAGGGGGGCCCCATGTTTTCCTTTTGTCAGTTACTAGCTAATCCTGGGAACCTATGCATATTTGTATATACACATGCATGTGGATCATTGTAATCTTTATAATGACGCTGGGCCTCTCATTACTCAGAGAACTTGTGATTTTCCCCTGTTACATGGTTTGTAATTGACTGAACCAAGATCAATGTCTTTTCCCGTACACCGTGACTGTCTTCACCTGATTACAACCATCCAGTGTGGGCCACATCTTTGAGTGAGCATCAGAAACTTTTAAAGAACTGGCTTCAGGTCTCCTATCCTTGGGTCATTTCCGTGGACCTTCCCTCCCTGTCACTGCTCCTGGAGTCACTGAGAGACTGCAGCTTGGGGTGCTAGGTCTGCCTTTGTAGGAACACCAGGAACACTGGCGATGTGTTTTAGACTCTATCCCCTCCGGTATTCAGGTTTTTAAATCTTTGGATCCACACAAGATAAATAGTGATCTCGGGGGGTTGAAATTGTTCTAAGACAAATATTTGAGATGTTTGTTCTTTGCTTTAAATTACCCAGCTGAGCCACTCAGCAAAGGGGCCTCTGCACAGGGAACAACCATGCATTTTAGCTGTGGGTAGAGAAGGGGACCCATTTTGTCATTTCAAGCTCTGACTAGCTTATTTTAAAATACGCTCATTGTAATATTACTCTTGAGTAGTGCTAAGTATGCCATTTTTCTTTTTTTTTAATTTTTGTGCTTGGGTGTGTTTGTATTGAAGAAGCAACATTCTAATAATTTCATCGGGACATTCTCATGTGTACCTTCACATTAGTATTATTTTCAACATGTGACAGCATGCTCCAATTAATGCACATTAAACACATTATGAGCGGCATTGAAAACAAATGTAATTTAAGTATAAAGATAATTGTTTTTTGAAGTATCCCGTTAAACCCACAGCCAGGGTTTCCTTTTGGCAACATCAGTGTGGAGGTAGACATAAGGACCCATGTCATCCACAGTCATTGCCCTCGTTCTATTCCTTCCCCAGTTGTGGATTCTCAATCTGCTACAAAGATTCTTCACTACTTCTCTGAGCTCTCAGGGGTAATCCCTGTGGTCCTTGCCTCTACTTCCCTGCAGCAGCATCCCACAGTGGTGCAGAGCGTGCCTCCCATTCCCAGAATGCCCTGGCTCCAGTATTATAGAACCTCCTGAAGCTACCATGTGCTCCTAATGTCCCTGGAGAGTTTGGAGGATGTGCGAATGCATGGGGCTGGTGAGAAACACAACATCCTGTATTCACGATCACTTGTCCCTTCCGACTCCAGCCCATGTCCTAAGACCATAAATAGTGGGTCTCAGATTGTCTTCTGCTTGCATTGAGCCTCCTACTGGGAGATTTCTTAGTCCCTCCCTTCCAGACATGCTCAAAAGTATCAGAATATTAAGATAAATCATGAGAATGTTGCACAGGATGTTCTGTGCATATTATTCATGGTACTGAAAAATTAGAACCAATCTAAATGTCTTTCAGAGGGTGATCAGATCAATTATGGTTTATCTAAATAATGAAATACTACACAGCCATTGAAATGAACCTGTATATACTCACATAGAAATATTTGAAGATAAGTTATTAATGAAAAATACAGGAATTTATTGACCAGAAAATGTCCTATGTCTCTATTAAAAAATTAAAGTACATTAAAAAGCCTGGAAGGACAATGACCAAACTATTATCTTTTGGGGATAAGATGAAGAGGACCTGACACTTTTCACTTTATATTTCTGAAATATTTGAGTTTTCAACAATAATTACATATTACATTTGTAATTAAGGCATTAGTAAAGTTGGTAAAAATTAATTTCAGGTTGCCCATGTGATGATGTTTCTCAAATATGTCCAGATATTAATGTTTTAGTGGCTAAAATGCAGTGCCAGTTTTTCCCATGGATATTTTTTTAGTTCATAGTATAGGAAGGTATTTGAGGTTGTGAGAACATAAATTATTTTAGGGCTCAATAAAGCTGTTTTCATTTTGAATGAAAAAAGGGAACTCACCTATAAACATCCAGTACAGCGGACCCTGAGAGGAACTGCGCATTGCTGACGTAGGTCATTAAAGTCCAGGACCTCTCCTCCATCTCCCTCCTCTGTTCTCAATAAATCTTATGTGTCCGGTGGCTGTCAAAAGCCTGTATTGCTACTCAGAATGTTGCGCTTTTAGGGACATTTTTCATCCTATGGCTGTGTACTTGATAGGATCGGAGATGGACAATTTTTATCTTCTCTTCCATGGGTCTGGAATGTCCTCCCTCCCACCACTTACCTTCCCCCGACTCTCAACATATACCTACCCATGGAAAAGGCTCCTACTTACCCTTCAAGCCTCAGCTTAAAACTTCACGCCCCTCCCCGGAGGAATTTGGGCCCCTTTCTTTGTTTCTCCCAGTCCCCTTGTAGCCACCACCATCATAATGCTTCTCACACTTGTCGTTGTGGCTCTCTATACATTTCCCCAGTAGATTCTGCGTCCCTTGAACTTAAAGGGAAGAGGCCAAGTCACTGAGATCTTTAACTCCAGGTGCTGGACACATAGGGGCCGAACACATTTTAGATATTTATTAAGCCTTTTTAAAAAAATTTTTTTTAAAGATTTTATTTATTTATTTGACAGAGAGAGACACAGCGAGAGAGGGAACACAAGCAGGAGGAGTGGGAGAGGGAGAAGCAGGCTTCCCGCTGAGCAGGGAGCCTGACATGGGGCTCGATCCCAGGACCCTGGGATCATGACCTGAGCTGAAGGCAGATGCTTAACGACTGAGCCACCCAGGAGCCCCTTATTAAGCCTTTTTAATTGAAGGATAATATACAGAGACAAAAGTGTGCATATTAAAAGGGTATAGCTGAATTGATTTTCACAAACTGAACACATCTCTTTAACCAACACCCAGATCAGGACAGGGATGATTTCCGGTACCCCAGAAACACCTTGCATGTACCTTCCAGTCATAATCTCCTTCTGGAGGTGCCTAACACAGTTCTCCCATTCCTGCTCAGATGCCCACTTTTTCATGCCCAGTGTCTGGGAAACTGCTTGGCCGAGCCTTATCGCTGCTGATGGACGTGAGAACGTCATGAATGTGCCCAGACAGGATGCTGTCTCCAGATGGCCAAACTCTCAGTCCACAAGATGCCAGAGGGTGAGAAAACAGTCCCTGATTTGTTCTCCACTCGTCTGGGTTCCACCTGAGTCTAAGTCCCTCATGAGCAATTCTGTCATTTGACCTCCACTTCTATCAGGTTGGATAAGTTTCCTTCTGTTTGTGATTTGCTAAAATTTCCTATGAATGTGTATAGAATCTCATCCAATGCTTTTGAGCCTCTGATTCATTACAAAATAATTTCTTTTTAATAGATAAAGGTTCCAGAGTTTCTGTTTCTTCTTATGTCAGTTTTGGTAAGCAGTGTTTAAAAAAAAAAGAAATTTGTCAATTTTATTCAGGTTGTCAAGTTTATTGCATAGTTTTTTAGGATCACTGGTTTGTTTTTATTTTATGAACTCTTGTGATTCTTGTATCTAATTGTATTTTCTTCATTGCTTTGGATACTTAGTTCAATTTTTTGTATAGATTCTAGAAACTTCAGAGTCATGTAGCATTTTCCGTAGATCATTAAAAATGTATATGAATTATTTAAAATGCATTCCTATCTCATTGGAACATGGAATCATTGCCTGTGGTTATTTGCAAATATTTAAACCCATTATTTCTTTTATTTACCATTGACTCAGCCCTCAGAATATCAGAACATTAGTAACTAGATAGAATGACAGATACATTTAATTAATTTCACAAATATCTATATGATAGAAGCCAGGTTTATAGAAGATTCCAATTTCTTTGAAAGCAAAGGTGTTGATAAAAATGAAATACTCATGGGCTTGCTGTGGATCTACTGGTTGTTTAATGTATACATGTTTATAATCTGAACAGATAAATGAACCATGATTTGAATTTTGATGACAAGGGTTTTATTTGGTGAAAACCATGAACCATATTCAATTCTTATTACATCCCTACCTGTCTTTACAAGACTGTGGCAGACTTTGCAGATTCCATCCTTTGGTGATTGTTGGGGGGAGCAAGCTCATGAAATTCACATTGGCATGGTTTGTTGGAAGGCTCTTCCATATCCCAGCAACTCATATAGCTAGTGACTCAGCATTGCATGTTTTTTACAGTGCTGCTTAACTTCTGCCTTTTCCCTCAATCCCACCCATTCCTTCTTTTTCCTAATATCCATCCATTCCCTGTAAAACATCATGAATTTCTTTTTTTTTAATTTAAATTCAATCAGCCAAGGTACAGTACATCATTAGTTTTTGATAAAATGTTCAATGAATTTCTTATTGATATTTCTATCCCTCCTTTAACCATACTTGCCTCCCTTATGCTGAGGGGGGGGAGGAGGTTGGGAGGAAATCTCATTTGATACATCAGACATTTATTGCTACATCATGGTGCCTAACTGGCTACTCCCAAAAGTTAGTAACCTAAAGCAGTTTCTTTTTGCCCATGCATCTGTGGATTGGCAGGCTAATTTACATTGAGCTTTGCTAGGTGTTCTCCAAATTACAGATTAGATTCAGGTCTTTAATCCTACTTGGAATAATTGGCTACCCAGTTCATATTTTTTGCATGGAAAGGACAGAAGTACAGGGAAGGTGAGTGGAAACATGTGATGCCTCTTAAGCCTAGGCTCAGAATCCATGCATTTCATTTCAGCCCATGTTCCACTGACCAAAGACGTATAATGCATAGGGCAGTTCCACAGAACAAAGCATTGTCTCACACACTGCACAATTTTCCCGTGTCCCATCAGACATCCATTTAAGTGAAAAGTTCATTTCTGATAATCCAAGTCTAGAACTTTTTCTGTGAAATACAAGTATTTTTTCCTTAGTTTTTATATATATTTTCCTGGGGGGAAACTACTTATAAATCAATCAAGGGAAGACTATACTTTGTTTCATTTAAAACCGTACCAAGAGTTGCTCATCGTTTCCAACAGTCATGTCACCAGCAGTAACACACACTAATTGTGACATTTAAGTTGCTAATAAGCACACCTCTCTTTGTGTCCATGGGTGTTTGTTATATTCATGGTGATTATACACTTAGAAGCAAGCATTTCATGTCTTCGTTTTGCCTTTTTTTGTTACACCAGAACATTTACATATTTAAAAACATATTTTATTATTTTTTTCTATTTCTCCTTGACACTATTAGGGCATTATATAGTTATTTTAAGTTTATGTATGCAGGTGGGTTATTTTATTTATTTATTTATTTATTTATTTATTTATTTATTTATTTATTTAAAAGATTTTATTTATTTATTTGAGAGAGAGAGAATGAGAGAGAGAGAGCACATGAGAGGGGGGAGGGTCAGAGGGAGAAGCAGACTCCCCGCCGAGCAGGGAGCCCGATGCAGGACTCGATCCCGGGACTCCAGGATCATGACCTGAGCCGAAGGCAGTCGCTCAACCAACTGAGCCAGGTTATTTTATTTATAAAAATTATTTAATAAGGCATTGCAAAATATATGTTATTACTAGATGTTGTTGGACTGTTCTAAATTGTGTACATTTTAATACCATGTGTAGTAAGTCCATTTATATTTGGGAATGAGAAGGGGCAAGTCGTAACACAGAGCGCTCTTCCATTTTGGCATTGTCTCTGAAGGGAGCATGCTCTTTCTGTGAAGATTGCCACATTACTCTCTCTCTAGCGATAGTTGTAAAGGGGGTAGTGTAGGAGCTGGACTTGTTTACAGAAATAGTGTGTCTGTAGAAAACATACAAGCCTTTATTGTAATTCTACTTCCAAGGCTCACCCCAAACATAAACAGTGGGGAGACTTGAGCTGTGAAGGCATGAGCTTTTACTGTTCTGCTCTAACCTTGGTTAGTCACTGCAAAGGACACGGGAAGCTTAGAGGAGTGAAGAAACAGACATTTTCAAAGATGGCCGCTCTAACAAATGGGGGAGATACCCAGTAGGAATCTGGTGGTTTCTTTCTAACCCTGCTTTTCAAATAACAATTTCTTGTCATTCTCGAGTTAACATTGTTATGGTTTCCTGAGTGAAGATGTCACAAACCATCACTACCAGCAGAGGGAATGAAGACAAGACACACACACACACACACACACACACACACACAGAGTATCCCAACAAACACATACATACCAGCAAAGGAAAGCACTAATATGGCCAGGAGGAGGTGCAGAAGTAACTTCAAAAGCATCACTGGGGAAAAAAAAAAAAAAGCATCACTGGGAGCCCCAAGAGCTCAGGGTCACACTTTGTTGCACTTTAATTTTAGGCAAAGATAGTTCATCACATGATTGTTTAAATTTTGCATTACATTTAATAAAGCTCCTAAAAAATAAAAAAAGTTAAAGTTCCTAAATAAGATGGAAAATAAGAGTTCATGCTATGTCCGATCGTTGGCTTAGAAATTTTTTTCCTCAGTAAATGATTTTGAAATAGGGTAATGCAAAATTTAAACAATCATGTGGTGAACTATCTTTGCCTAAAATTAAAGTGCAACAAAGTGTGACCCTGAGCTCTTGGGGCTCCCAGTGATGCTTTTTTTTTTTTTTCCCCAGTGATGCTTTTGAAGTTACTTCTGCACCTCCTCCTGGCCATATTAGTGCTTTCCTTTGCTGGTATGTATGTGTTTGTTGGGGATACTCTGTGTGTGTGTGTGTGGGTGTGTGTCTTGTCTTCATTCCCTCTGCTGGTAGTGATGGTTTGTGACATCTTCACTCAGGAAACCATGACAATGTTAAGTGCTTCTCAGGGTCTTCTGATTGCATTGTGCTTTTCTGCTTGGAGGGGTTTCCTCCTTCCCTTGAAATATAACTAACCATTGATTTTTTGGTCTGGCTGACATATGACAACACAAAACTCTTTCATAACAGTTTTCACTGTTCCTGACTGACAGCACTGGGAATCAGGATGCCTAGCTTCTCAGTGTAACAGCTTCTCAGGTGACCCACTGCACGTGTCCTCAGCCTGAAGGCCATTTGGGTTTATAGTCATGAGGGTTCAGCCTACCTTTTAGTCATGATGAACGGATTTATGATGATCTCATCTGATCAGATCAGATTTTCCTTCTTTTCGCCAGGCTGAATTTTTCATTCAAAATTTGAAACTTAATTCTAGCGTGTGTCTGTGTCTGTATATTCCTTAGGCTAATCACTTTCTTACGTCTCAGAAGAGATGAAGTTATGAGTTGATAGTCAGATGTAGACTTTTTTTAAAGATTTTATTTATTTATTTGACAGAGAGAGACACAGCGAGAGAGGGAACACAAGCAGGGTGAAGTGGGAGAGGGAAAAGCAAGCTTCCCGTGGAGCAGGGAGCCCGATGCGGGGCTCGATCCCAGGACCCTGGGATCATGACCTGAGCCGAAGGCAGACGCTTAACGACTGAGCCACCCAGGCGCCCCCAGATGTGGATTTTCACTCTTAGTTGAATTTTGTAAGTGTGCCAAAAGCTTCTGCATGTACAGCCCTGTCAGCAAAATGGCCAGAATATTTTATTTGTAAAATGCTCAGAGAATATTTATAATGTCGATGGATTATAAAATTAGCAAATATTTATTAACTTTGTTAAGTATTAGGATTATAAAAAAAGGAGGAACTTTAGATGAATCATGACATGTATTACTTAGTCCTGACTTGTGTAAAGCCACCTTTTATCTCAGCTAAGGTTCAAGGTTGGCTGTTTATTTACTTGTTTATTAGCTCAAAAGCTATAGGTATGTCAAATGAAAAAATACAGCTTCACAGTATGTGGTGAAAACTAGCCTCCAAACTACAGTTAATCCAGTATAGCACCAGTTATTGCCCTAAATGGACACTCTTTCCTATGAGAGCATAAAAGGTAGCAGAATACATCTTAAGGGTTTAAAGGTTCACTGCACAAGATGGTGCCTACCTTTCCTTCTTAATAGGACACAGGAGAAAATAGACTTGAGTAAATAACTGAAATATTTTTTTAAAATGAAATAAAAATTTCAATTCCATTTCAGTAAACAAATTGATCATCTCCCTTGTGCAAGGGATATGCTATGATCATTAGGAAAAATGAGCTGGGTAGGATTCAGCCTGTGATCTCAAGCACACAGAC